CCCCCCCCCCCCCCAGCTGAGAAGAGCTCGGTACAGCCGTGACCCCAGCTCACAGTGGCAGCCTGCCCCGTCCTGTGCAAATCCAGGAGCACATGCCTCCCCCACCCCCATGCCCTCCTGGGGTGTGTGCGGTGGCAGGAGCTGCCCCCTCAGACACCCCCAAAGGAGCTGCTCACAGCTCCATCTTGTGCCCCGCCCTGCCCTGGCTGTGCAGCACCTACCCGTGGCCCAGCCCAACACCCTTCTGCACTGTGGGGGCCTTGATCTGCCCCCCCCTCCATGCCCCTGTTCTCCCCCTGCCCCTTCCCCTGCAACAGACTTACCAGCTGGATGCTGCTGTCCATGCTGCTGGGCTGCCTATTGGCAGTTGGATTGGTATCGGCCAATATGGCTCGTTAAAAATTGGCCATCGGTATTGGCCCAAAAATCTGTATCGGTGCACCCCTACTCCTCGCTATGTACAGTGTGATAAATCCTCAAAAGAGCCACAAGCCATCCTGCCTACATATGCTTATCTCTGTTTTTTAAATATACAGCCATCAGTATGAGGCAGAGAGGCCTGTGTAAGTGAGAGGAGCAGAGTCAGCCTTCCCAGTGTGGGGTTGAAAAGATGCTGGGAGATGAATGGATACAGCATGCATTTCTCTGTGTGCAGCAGTGGAGATTCTGGGCCTGAAAGGGACAGTCAGCCCCTTCAAATGTAGAGCAGGGAGAAGTTCTGGTCTGGTGTAGCTGGATGTAAAGAAATATCACTTGACGTGCCTGTGGTAACTCAGTCTCTCCTTGTCCTGGTCAGGTGCTGTATCTGAAGAATCTAAGTCCCCGGGTGACAGCGAGGGAGCTGGTTTCCTTATTTGCTCGATTCCAGGAGAAGGACAGGCCACCAATTCAGTTCCGCCTGCTGAATGGCCGCATGAGGGGCCAAGCCTTCATCACCTTCTTCAGTGAGTTGCTCCCTGTTGTCCTTTCCTTATTACTAAAAGTGCAGTGTGCTGGAAGGCCTACATGCCCTGGGACAACCAGAGAATTCTGTTTCCAAGCTTATCCAGACCCCTGTATCCCTACATGGCTCCAGTGAAAACCTCCAGCCCTTCCATGGAGTAAGAGTGAGGTTATCTTCCATGGATGAAGAGGATCTCTGATGCTGCCTGCTGTTCACCACAGTGCCCTACTAATATAATGTCACCACCATATGGTATAGCTGCTGTAGGTAGACTGTGAATATGAGAACCCTTAATGACCTGGAGAAGACCACAAAATCTGTTGTAGAGCCCAGTGGGCTTGAGGAGCAGAGACCTATAACCTAATCTTTTTTCACTCTCCTGTTGCAGGTGTGGAGGTTGCCCAGAAGGCTTTGCTGCTGGTGAATGGATATAACCTGCAGGGGAAACCATTGGTGATTGAGTTTGGGAAGAACAAGGGGCAGTCAAGTTCTGACTCTGCCTCCCCCAGTTGCTGTGCTGTAAACAGTGTGGGTAGCTCCACTGCCAAATAGGGGACAAATACTACACCGGGTCTGTGTTGATTTACTTAGACTGTGGTAACTCTCCTGTCAGAACTGGACCAGCAAAGGACTATCCCTGTATAAATCTCAAGGTTAGACAGGAGAGACTTGGAGGCTAAGCTCCTTTCAGTGAAGTGCTGAAGAAAGGTAGAAAAGCCCCCTCAAGACATGATGGGACATCAGGATGGTAGGAATGGAACCAGCCCCTCCTAGCACAAAGCACATGGGGGTGAGGTCCATATTTTGACTGTTTGGTTTGAAGGAGTCTGAGGATCTTATGTTGATGTGCCTTGCTTGGGCACTGTGCAAAGTGTTCCCAGGGGTGATACTGGGCTGTATTTCTTTCTGTCCAGATTATAAACAGGCAACTTTAGCAGTGTTTGGAGAGGATGCCTATATCCCACCACATTCAGATATGTGTTAATTTTTCCCTCCTGTGTTAAGCCTATATATTGGTTCCACTATCCAAATACCTTCTATTTAGGAGGAGGGAAATGTGTTTTATAAATATATTTTCCCAGGAGATGTCCTTCTTTCATAGATGATTATGTGTCTCTATAACTAGAGAGCTGCACTTGTTATCTTCCCTGCTCTGAGGAAACCATTTTGGAGATGACAGGAGCCTTTGGTTTTCAAGGCCCAGATGTTATCCTTTGCAAGTAACAGGTGCTGATAACAGATCTCAGTGCATCGTGCCTTTCTTCACCTCCCTTTCAGGAGTCCCAGTTGCCACATAGAATAGAATAGCAGTGGTCAGTTTGGCTGGATATCCTGCCTCTAACAGTGGTTAATGTTGTATGCTTCAGAAGATGGCAAAAATGTCCCTGCTCCTTTTGCTCTTTTCCACAATACGTTTAACTGCAAAGTACCATACTAGTGGGATTTTTCCCCACTGGTATGTCTTCCTGACCACTCACTCTTGTACCACTAATAATATCCTGAAGTATGAAGACTAGTAGTTCTTGTGATTGTTCCCAGTTAGTACCAGTGCAGGTGCAGTAGTTGATATAAATATCTTGTTGCTTTCTAAAAATGATGCCATTTCCACTAAAATGATGCCTCCATCACTAAATATGGCAGGATAATGTCATGCTTCTTTTGCACCATCCCAGCTGTGCCTGGAGAGACGTGGCTGAAATCTTCTTGCCTGGTGATTTGAAGGAACCAACACCTTATTAACAAAGTGAGCTGTAGAAACTGCCACTCTTATGAAGAGCATCAATTCCCAATACCAGCTGGGTCTCAAGCAGCCAGTCAGGAGTCCAGCTGTCCGCAGCTTCTTTCTTCCCTTGTTAGTTTTTTTCCTTGGCTGTCAGTTTGACTCTTTTGGCCATTGTCTTCCTTGTCAGCTTGTATTAGCCTTGTACCATGTGAGTGCAAATGCTGAATGGAGGATTGTGTGGTGCCAAGGGGAAATTTGGAACAACACAAAGGCAGGACATACAAGTCCGCGGGTCCTAAAGGATGCTCTGCAAGCTGCCTTTTGGCCTCTGTCTTGGCAGACTTTGTTTCTTCCAACATAAAATACTTCATTCTCCCAAACAGCAACTTATTGGGCAAAATATCTCAGAACCATTCTAGAATGCTACAGACACTTAAGGCCTCAATATGTGTTCACCCTGTCCTGTTGGGTTCCTGTTGCTACAGAACATTTGTGTGTCACCAAAAGGTGTGGTTCTGTGGGTTATTGCAGACTGACTTGATTGAAGCAAATGGCATGGGGATTGAGAAGATGGAACCTCACAGGAAGTTGGGGATGAGCCAGAGGTGTATCTGGATTGTCCACTTTTGTTTCCTTTTGTCAATAAAGCTTTTAGTGTTTTCATGCCCATGTTCAGACTGAAGAGGCTCAGGCTGAGCAGTGCTGCTATCTTTGTACTGCTGGAGTCTGCCTTTTACCAGAGGGACTCCATGTGCTTTTCTAATCTGATGTCATCTCCCTCCCCTGAGGCAGGTAAGTATTATCACTCACATCTTAGAGATACAGGCATAGGAAGGGGGAAATGATTTGCCAAAGCATCTGCCTTATTTCACTGAACTTGCTAAGGAGTTTTGACAAGTCTCCTTAATTTTATCTCCATATACCTACCAAGTTATCCTGTGTAAAGGGCTGGGGCCTGTTCCAAAGTCCAGTGACCTACATGGAAAAACTTCCATTAACCTCAGCAGTCTGGGCCTTGTCTTTGGAAGAATTCCAGTTTACAGAGATTCTACGCAGTGTAAGCTCTGCCTTTCTTCCGCTGATACTTTTTGTTTTCGGCCCCCGCAATGAAAGTGCTATGCTCCAACCACCCTCCAAACACATGCAGTTTCAGCTCAGTGTAAACCAGTACCAGAATAATAATTATGCAAACTTCGCCTGTGCTTAGGGTACAGGCAGAGACCATTGACTGGGTGTCTTTATACTTGCAAAATAAGTAGAAAATGATGTCCATTTGTGCCATTTAAGGTGAACCCTTGAAAATGAGGGCAATCCTGAAATCAACAAGGAGGCAGCAGAGGGATACAAAATGGGAGTCATTGCTTATATAAGAAGGCCTAGCATTATTCTGTACAAAGCCAGCTTTGGGGAGGTGACGTAAAGAGGAAAACAGTGGTAAAGAAGAGGTGAAAGGTTGGCTTGAGGCTTGTGACAGAGGTGGAGCAATGGAAGGGGCCATGCATTGGTGGTGCAATTATACATGCATCCTGTGAGAAGAGGGAGCCAGAGTTCTGGGTCCAGTGCAGTAGGGATTCCCAGAGATAGTTACCCACAGAAGTCATGGACTGCAGTCAATTTACACAACAAGCTTAATGAGGATTCCCAGAATCAGACAGGGAATGGAGACCTGTGGCATCCTACAAGGAAAGAAAACTTGGGGGTTGGGATCCCTAAAGGTGTCAACTTTTAAAATTAGATTGTGTTTTGGGACATTTGTTTTCTGAAAGGCTCAGTTCCTAGAATCACAAGATGAAAGAATTCTTGGCGTTCAAGGGAAAAGTTTTCTCCTATGGTTGGTGCAACACTGAGAGGCCTCTTGGCCAAGCTGTGCAGGCTTTTTAAGGACAAGAGAGGCAAATACCTATCAGAGGGGCCTAGAGGGATTTGATCCTGCCTCAATGCAGGAGGCAGAACCAGGTTCCTTCCTGAAGTCTTGTGGTTCTGATTCCCTGTTTGTAGAGAAGCCTTGCAGCCACCCCTCCGTGCATCCCACAGGGCATGGGGGACAGACCCCGCCATCACTAGGGTTAACTGGTGGCTCCTGGAGGGCACAGGGAAGATAGCTCCAGGGCCAGGACAGGGCGCTGCCCCGTAGCGGCCAAAAAGCATGCTGCATGCAAATGAGGCCTCTGGGAGCCAATCGGAAAGAAGGCCCTCTACTGGAGGACGCTGGAGGCCGCCATGTTGCTGTACGGCTTGTCCCGTGGTGCCGGCCGCCATGCCGCGGTACGCATCTGGCCCTACTGCTAGGGGGCTGCCATCTTGTGGAGGGCTAGAGGGGGAGCGGGAGCCGCTGCTGCACAGCGGGGCGGGAGCTGGGGCTCACAGGGGCTGGCCGCCA